AAGAAAGAAATGAGACATATAAATATTGACACACTCGGTATTGACGATTCCTGCCAAGTCACCCAGTCACCAAAATGGAAATGAGCAAGAGCCTGTGGTAATGAAGAAGTTTAAGCTGCTCTGAAAGAATTGGCAAAAAACAAGGCTCCAGGAATTGACGGCATACCAATTGACATATTTCAACAAACAGATGCTGTCCTGGAGGTGCTAAGTTGTGCCAAGAAATCTGGAGGAAAACCACTTGGCCAACTGACTGGAAGAGATCTATATTTGTTCCCATTCCAAAGAAAGGTGACCCGACAGAGTGTGGAAATTATTGAACAATATAATTAATATCACATGCAAGCATGATTCTGCTGAAAATTATCCAAAAATGACTGGAGCAGCACATCAGCAGAGAACTGCCAGAAGTGTAGGCTGGGTTTAGACAGGGTTGTGGTACTAGGGATATTATAGTTAATGTTAGATTGATCTTGGCAGAAAGCAGAGAGTACCAGAGGAATGTCTATCTGTGTTTCATTTACTATGCAAAGGCTTTTGACTGTGTAGATCACAACAAACTGTGGCTGACTCTGAGAAGGATGGGAATCCCAGACATTTGATTATGCTTATGCAAAACTTATACTTGAACCAGGAGGCAGTAGTCAGAACAGAGGAAGGAGACACTGCGTGGTTCAAAATCAGAAAGGGTGTACACCAGGGATATATTTTGTCTCCATACCTTTTCAATCTATATGCAGAATAGATCCGGGAGGCTGGCCTTTATGACAAAGAAGGTGGCATCAGGATTGGAATAAGATTCATCAACAACCTGCGTTATACAGATAACACAACCCTGCTTGCTGAAACTGAGGAGGACCTGAAGTGCTTCTATATGGATTGAAACTCAGCATCAAGAAAAAAAGATTTTCACCTCTGGGTCAGTTGGCAGCATAATTATGGGTGGTGAAAATACTGAGATTGTTAAGTTTTAGTTTTTTTGGCTCCACAATCAACACTCTTGGTACCAGCAGCCAGGAAATCAAGAGACAAATTGCATTGGGAAAGTCGGCTGTCAGGGACCTCTCCAGAGTACTGAAGAGCAATGACATCAGTCTGGGAACTAGTGTGCCTGATCCAAGACATAGTCTTCACAATGTCTTGCTATGCACCAGAGAGCTGGACAATCACTAGGGATGATAGAAAGAGAATTAATGCCTTTGAGCTGTGGTGCTGGAGATTAGTATTGAATATACCATGGGCTGCCAGGAGAAAAAAAAATAAGTTCACTCTGGAGAGGGTTAAACTGGGCTGTTCCTTGGAGGCAAGGTTTCTGAAGCTTCATCTGACATACATTGGACATGTTAAAAGGAGGGACCGGTCCTTGGAGAGGTAGATCATGCTTGGGAAGGTAGAGGGACAGCACAAGAGAGGAAGACCCTCAGTAAGATGAACTGATTTAGTCACCGGGGCAATGGGGGTCACATGGTGTGTCAGAGACAATAAGGTTGGCACAGGATAGAGCAGGGTTTACAGCATCTCTATGAGTCACAAGTGACTTGATGGCACAAAATAACAACAGCAGCAGATTTTGCTTGAATGTGACATTAATGATATTATTCGACAGTTTCCACTCAGTTGGATCACCTTTCTTGGGAATGAGAGCAAACATGGACTTTTTCCAATCCATTGGCAAGCCAGCCATCCTTCAAATTTCCTGACATTGACTGGTGAGTGCATCCAAGGCTGCAATGCATCTGTTAACTGAAACAAGTCAATTGGTATCCTCTCGATTCCTGGGGCATTTTTTTTTTCCTTTCCAAATGCCTTCAATGCAGCTTCTACTTCCTCATTACTATTGCTTCCTGTTCATATTAGTACTTCCTGAAATTTTTCAGTGTCAATCAGTTCTTTCTGGTACAGTGAATGATTCTGTGTATTCCCTCCATCTTCTTTTGATGCTTTCTGGGTCATTCAAGATATTGTACATAGTATCTTTCAATATTGTGACATGAGGTCTAAATTTGTTTTTCAGTTCTCTCAGCTTGAGAAATCCTTGCATTAGGAAAATGTGTTGTGAGGGATCTCTCCAGAGTATTCAGGAGCATTGATGCCAGTCTAGAGAATAAAGTGCACCTGATCCAGGCCATGGTATTCTGTTAGGCATCAGAGAGTTGGACAATGACCAAAGAGGACAGAAATAATTAACGTCTTTTAAGTTGTGGTCCTGGAGAAGAGTACTCAACATACCATATGAACTTCCAAGAGAACTAATAGGTCAGTCCTAGGGAGGGTAAAGCCAAGCTGCTCCTTGTAGGTAAGGATTTTTAGGCTCCATTTCACAGACATTGGGCATGTTGTGAGGAGGGACCAGTTCTTGGAGAAGAACATCATGCTTGGAAGGGTGGAGGGAAAGCACAGGAGAGGAAGACCCCAGATAAGATGAATTGACGCAGTAAAGGGGTATTAGGGGTAGGTGTTTCAGAGACAGTGAGACTGACTCAGGATGGAGCAGGGTTCAGAGCTATTGTGCATAGGGTCACTATGAGTTGTGGTCGACTCAACAGTACAAAAAACAAGAAGCCACCAGAGCTCCCTGAGTATATCGTGTTGTTATATGCCATCAAGTCTCTTCTGACTCATAGCAACCCTATGTACAACAGCTCTGAACCCTACTCTTCCTCAGTCAACCTTACTGCCTCTGACACACCTACCCCATAACTGAGTCAATCTATCTCATTAAGGGTTTTCTTCTCTTGCATTGTCCCTCCACCCTCCCAAGCATAATGTACCTCTCCAAGAACTGGTCCCTCCTTGCAACATGCCCAAAATATGTCAGACGGAGCTTCAGAATCCTTGCCTCCAAGGAGCAGTCTGATTTCACTCTCTCCAGGGTGAACTTGTTTTTTTCTCCTAGCAGTCCATGATATAGTCAATACTAATCTCCAGCACCACAGCTCAAAGGCATCAATTCTCCTCTATCATCCCTAGGCATTGTCCAGCTTTCTGATACATAGCATGTAAGTGTGAAGACCATAGTCTGGAACAGGCACACTTTAGTCTCTAGACTGACATTGTTGTTTTTCAGAAGTACTCTGGAGATCCCTGACAGCAGACTTCCCCAAAGTAATTTGTCTTTTTATTTCCTGGCTGCTGGTACCAGGAGTGTTGAGTATATCATGTTGTTGCTGTTGTTGTTATGTGCCATTGAGTTGCTTGCAACCGTATGTACAATAGCCCTAAACCCTGCTCTATCTTGTGCCAATTGCACTGCCTCTGACACATCCATCCAGATTACCCCAGTCACTGAATCAATCCATCTCATCGAGGGTCTTCCTCTCTTGCATTGTTCCTCCACCCTCCCAAGCATGATGTTCCTTTCCAAGGACTGGTCCCTCCTTGCAACCTGTCCAAAGTATGTCAGATGAAGCTTCATAATCCTTGCCTCCAAGGAGCAGCCTGGTTTAACCCTCTCCAGGAGGAACCTGTTTGTTTTCTTAGCAGTCCATGGTACATTCAATAGTCTCCTCCAGCACCACAGCTCAAAGGCATCAATTCTCCTTCTATCGTCCCTAGTCATTGTCCAACTCTCTGATGCATAACAAGTGATTGCAGAGACCATGGCCTTTATCAGATGCATCTTAGTCTCCAGAATGACACCATTGCTCTTCAGTACTTTGGAAAGGATCCTAATAGTTGACTTTCCGATTGCAATAAAATAGAACTCCTAATTATCTATTTCTCTTTCCAAAAGGGAAGAGCCAGTTTCTCCTCTTTTTATTTTTCTCTCATACAAGCTAGAAACATAGAAGAGTTTTCTTTCCACCCTCCATCTCATCCATTATGAAGAGCTCCTAACTTCTCTTCCTACAGTATTTTTTCTGGATGTTTTCCCTTACAAGTATCCCCCCACTCTCTGGAAGAAGAGTTCCTACGAAACTTTTCCTAAGACAAAATGGTGTAAATTTAAAAAGCAATTAGCATCAATCTCTATGGAAAATGGTTTTAAGTGTTCCCAGACCCCCCAAATAGCCTATCAAATTAATATAACATATGACATTTAAGATAACACTAATGTGCAGTGTTCAAAGACAGTTCAAAGCTCTGGTGACTTCATCCTGAGACGTTGAGTATAGTTCCAGGGAAGGGGCTTGGCAGCACATATGCTGGACTCTGCCAATTGCTTCAAAGTCAATGCTGAAGGCTAGTTTTGCTATTTTTATTTTTCACAAAAGCAAAAAAATATCCTCTTAGGATTTCTTTTGGTTGGTGCCAACAGGTACTAACATAGTTCATTTGTAAAAGCAAAATGGCATAAATGGAACTTTAAAAAATTGTATTTTGTGATTATTACACAGTCTAGGGGAATAAACAGGCTACAATAAATGGTGGTAAAAGCTAGCAGGCCATAAAAAAGGTCTTTCTTTCAAATCTGTAGAGCCATTGTTGTTCTTTGTAGTGTGACTTTGAGTCAAGTCTGACTCACAGAGAAAGATGTGGCTGTCGGCTTCTGTAAAGACTACAGTCTAGAAAAACCTGTGTGGATATTTTGTGTACAAAGAGAGGTAAGAGAGCATTCAGTCTTTTCCAAATGTATTTAAGCATTTTTGTGAAACATCTATTAGCATCTTACGTGCCTCATACATAGTTCATGAATTGCTGCTCAGTCATTTTACTCTGCCCTATCTTTACCGAGTAGAACTGCCCCATAGCTTTTGTTAGACATCAGACCTTGGAAACTCTGAAGTATCTTTGTTCCTCCAGATGTTCTTTCTGCTCTTGCAGGTTTCCATAATTATCTTTCAGGCTTGTGCATTGTTGTCTAGAATATTCAGTTCAAAACTCTAGGCACTACTGGAGACTGGAGCTCATTTCCTGACTGAACCTGAGACTGGCCCTTGCATATGTCCAGTACAGGACTTTTTTTTTAAGCATGTAGAGTGAAGGAACTATCTGAAAAACAAAAAAAAACTCGACTTACCCTTCTCCAAGAGTGATACACAGTGAAAGTCAAGCAAACAGTCCTTCCCTGCAATATTTATTAAGGAATTTACACATACACAGGAGAAAGGCAACCAGGAACTGATAGTTCCTGCAGAAGAATCTTTTAAGCAAAGTTTTCTTGTTTTAATTTTCAAGTGGGTGAACAATGACTGATAGGAAAGCTTCCCTGGTTCTGTCCGATTCACCTGGCCATAGGTAAGGAAACAGAACAGCCTAGGACACAGAGGCATGAAAGAGTGATTGGCAGGTTGGGAGAGGGGAAAGGAAAAAGAGAGCTCTAAATGAGACTGTATTTTTTTTAAGGATAAAAACTGGCAACAGTTTTAAGCTGTTGATAAATTAACTCCTCTCTGTTGTAAACCTAAAACTAAACAAACAAAAACACTGGGCAGATGGGGAGTGATTGGGAGGCAGAATACACACACATACACTCACACACACACAAAGTACATACTTTAAGCTCTGCATTCCCATTGAAGGAGCTGGCTCCCCAGCCATAGGGTCGTCTCCCTCTGAAAGTAGGGAGGAGTTGGGGAGGCAGGTGTTTTTGTGTGGGACCCTCATAAAGTCTTTGGTGCTGATAAAGGCTGAATGAAGAAGCAAGCCCTGAAGCCTCAGATGTAGAAAGCTACTCAGAACAAAGCAGAATGATACTTTCCCCCACCCTTATTAGAGGGGTCTTGGGATAGTGACCCCAGGGATAATGACAACCTGATCCAAGGCCAAAGGATTATTTAATTTGATTTCAGTACTTTCTTCATTTCCACAAATCATGGAAGCATGATGCCTCCCTCTTCAACTATAAATTTTAAAATTTAGAAATAGACTGTTGACACGTATAAAAGGAACTCTAAACCCTCACCTTCTTTACCTAAACACAATACTCACAGACTTCTCAGAGGCTGACGGGAGTTTTATGCTTAAGGGAAAGGTATTCAGTGGTGTGCACATTTCTCCTGCAGTTAAGTGCCTTCTGCCAACAATTTCTAAGGTGCCAGTGCCAGGAGACGGCTAAGGGCTGAGATTGGGGACAGAGGTCAGGGTGATTTGGGAGCATGGGCAACATAAAGCAACAGAGAGGTCTGCGTGTTTGGGAAGAGGCAGAGTTGGGCTGAATGCCGAACCCCAGATGATTATTGAGCGTTTTCTAAACCAAATAAACAGAGGCTGGGAGATGGGGTGGAGCGAAGAGGAGAAAGGGAGAGTGAGGTTGAGGAGAGTGACAGCCATACAGGTGTTTTGTTTTTTATTTCCACATCTGAGGACTGAGAGTCTGATTTGCTGCCTGTCCATTTCCGCCATTCATTGACTGTCCATAGTTCATCATGCCATTGGCTCCATAGAAGTTCATCCCAGCCATCTGCTGGGTCATCTGAAAGAAAAACAGGAGACTTTCAGACCAGGCTGTGGGCTTTCAGCCAATTAAAGAGTCCTTCTGTCTGTCGGGAGGAGGGGAAGGAAACAAAGAGAAACTTTGTTATAGTAAGTACAAAACTGTCCTGAAAGGAAGGTTGCAGAGTGGAGTATACTAGGGGTGGGGGTGGAGGTGGGTGCTGCAATGAAGGAATTTTTCTTTTACTTTTCAAAGACAAGAGTGAACTGGGGGTGGGCGGGGAGAAAAGTGCAACAATGAATGAATCGAAATCCAAAATCTCTGTAAATGTTCTTTAAAATTAATAAAAAAACCCAAAACAAACCTGTCCTGGATCAAATAGTAAGAGCATTTCAAGGGCATGGATAGGAGTTGACTCATAACTGACCACCAGCAGATTTTTAAGGGTTGCAAAACTTACGTGAGATTGTCCATTATTCTCTCACGGAGCACGAGAGCGCTCTTTTTTACTGTGTTTTAATAAATTTCTATGATGATTCTTTTTGTGATTCAAATTGTCCCATATTTCAGTATAAGCCTCTAGAGTTTGGCTCATATATTCATTTGACATGGTCCTGTGAGTTTTATATCACTTTATTATTTATATGAATAAAAATTCAATAATGAAAGTCAATTAACATTTCAACTCTGAAAGCTAGAAAAACAACAAAGTAAGCTAAAAGGAAATATATGGAAGAAAATATATAAATAAGAAAGTGTGACAAAACAGGAAAGTAAATGAATAAATACAAATCTTGATTTTTAAAAAAATTAATAAAATAGACAAACTATTAGCTGACCTGAGAAAAAAGGTGGAGATGAGCATAAACATAAAAAATAAGAACTGCTGAGGGAAGATAATCATGAAACATAATTTTTAAAAAAATATTAGACTAGTTGCCACAACTTTTGAGAAAGATATGAAAAGCTAGATGAAATGCATGTCGTATCATGTACTGCTGAGTAAAACTGACTCCTAGCCAACCCTTCAATGGGTTTTCAAAGGCAGTAATTGCGCAAGAGGACAGTGCCCACCTTTCTCCAGCTAAGCAGTTGGTGGTTTCAAACTGTATGCCTTTAAGATTGGCAACTCCTTACCTCTAAGCCACTAGAGTTTCCTAGATGAAATGCATAATCTATGTATATAAAGTTTTTCAAAATTGTCTTCGATAGAAACAAAAAAGTTTTGTTGCTCAAAAAACAAACAAACAAACAAAAAACCCCAACCAACAAGACAACAACACAAAACCAACAGGCTCACACATTCTACCAAGCCTTCAAAGATTCCTACCACATATTCTCACATAATAGAAAAACTATAAAAACACTCTAAAACAAGTGTAACATTGATATTTAACCTTTGTGAAGAACAGCATGCACATATCTGCCTGCTATCTCTTTGTTAATCCTTCATTTTCAGACTTTAAACCACTTTGCTTCCATGGTCTTCTGTGTCTAATATCAAATTAGCTCCAGGTGGCACAAACAGTTCATAGTAACCTGAAGAAGGTGGTACGTGCCACTTTATCATTTACAAATTAATTTGAGCATCTTTTTCTTTTATTAATAAGATTATGCTGAATGAACTAACTCAGTCCTATAAGGACAAATACTGTGTAAAACCATTATTGTAGAATGAGTATGAAGATCCAAGGCAGGGGGGAGGGTCGAAATAGAGGGGTGAGGATGGGGGAGTTGCACAATTTGATGGGTGGGCAGGGTGGAGGAAATGAGAAGGATCTTTTGTGAAAAACAATGTATTCAAACTTTGTAAATAAATCAGAATAAATTTTTTTAAAAAATAAGTTAAGCCTACTGCTATGAATAATACTTTTGGTCTCAACTCCATTATATTATATTTCACTATCTTCATTTTATATTTCTACACGATGTATTCTATTTTCTTTGAGTTTTAAAAGATAAATTATTTTCCTATTTAGAAAGGTTTTGTTCCAGGGGTCACCTTTAATGCTAACATTTTCAGTATCCTTGTTCTCTTTTTTCCTTACTCTAGCTCCTATTTGCTTTGTCTGTTTTTTACAGACAGATGAAGCTCCATTCTATCATTAAATCCAAGATGGGTGTGGAAATGTGTGCTTCAAGTCCCTTACTTTTTTGACCCTTCAAGGAGCCTGAGTTCTAATCTATCAGGTCTCACTCAGTCCTGTTTGTCAGTACGTCTCCACTCCATGGCAAGTCCTTCTCTCTCTGGAGGTGATTTACTCTGAGTTTTGTTACTTTAAGGTTCCCAGTTCTTTTCTTCTTTTCATAATCTCCTCTGAACTTTTTTGGTCCGATACTGGCTCTGTTGGGGCTGTGTGCTGTCAAGTCAGAAATGACTCATAGCTGACTATCCAGACTGTGTCCAGAGGCTGTAAATTGCACAGCAGGAGCAGCTGGTAGATTCCAACTGCATACCTTTGGGATGGCAGCACAAATGCTTACCATGAAGCCCCAGAGCTCCCTTCTGTTAGATTTAGGTGCTTACATGTTATGTAATTTGTAGTTTGTATAATTCTATCTACTAGATGTAGTTGTTGTGGGTTGTAAGTGATACTATTTGTTCTCATTTATTTGTAGAGGTTTTTTTCCTGTTTTTAAGGATGTGTGGAGAGATGCAGATTTAGGCAGCTCCGTTATTCTGCAGGTACCGAGAACTCCTCAGAAAGTGTGACTGACTTTAGAGGAAGCTTCTAAGAGTAAAAAACAAAGCAAACCTAAGAATGTTTCTTCTATCATTTCACCTACACTAAAGCAACTCAGAAGGATAAAGGAAAGGTACAAATGGTTTCAGAAGTGAGTCTTGAAGCAAGCTCAAACCTCTGACATGAGTAAAATGGGGTGGCTTACCTGAGTAAGGTTCCACTGCAGCTGCTGAGCTGGCTGGACTCCATACATAGCCTGGGGCATAGCTGCTATGCCTGTCATGTAGCCAGCCTGCTGGGTGGTCATCATTCCATTTGGCACGCCCATCATTGATGCCTGCATGCCACCCATATAGCCCGCAGGCATGGCCATTGGGGCAGCAACCATGCCAGAAGCTCCTGGTTGAGCTACCATGCCTACTGGTGGGGGCATCATGCTCCCCATAATGCTGTTAGGAGGTGTAACCCCAGGGAAGCTGGGGTAGGCTGTGGGATATGCCATCTGAGCAGGAGCCATGAACATTGCTGCCAAAAAACCATATATACAGATCTGTTAGAGATGAAAATACACAAATCAACCCAGTCCCTCACTGGCTACTCTTTTTCAGCTAAAATTTCTCAAACTACTCTTTTAGGTGACAAAGCTGCTAGACAGGTTCCCTATAGGATTTTCTGAGATCTGCCAGTAGATCATTGATCTAGCCACTACATTTTAGGATCCAGATATAGATCTTAGGTTGAATGTCACAGAAGTATTACAACAAGTCCTACAGAAGCTACCTCTGAGTTACACTAATATCTATCTGCTGACACTTTGAGGCCTCACAAGCAATGTCACATTCAGTCTTGTTTGAGGCATGATGTCCTGGCTTCCCAAGCAGCAGAAGTCTAAGACAACAAATCATTCCTGCATCTAAATCCTCATGTTCCTGTCTGCCATTCTCCTATGACTCTTCCCTCTGTGAGACCTACCTTGGGCAGGCATTTGAGGCGTCTGGGATCCATATAATGAAAGGATGGAGTCTTTAGAGAGCTGTTTCTTAGCTATTTCCTCTGATTTGCTCCCTGGCTCAGGAAACAGGTTAAGGTTTTCAGGAACAGAGCCGGCACTCCCTGCAGTTGGCATGGATCCTACAACCTTGGGGGAAAGAAGGCAGTGGGGGACATTGGCATAGTCCTCATGGGATCTCACTAGGATCTCTCTTGCCTTTCTGTGGTGCTAAATTTGCAATAAAAATTCATGGCTCAGATTAATAGAGTCCTGACATTTTAATCATCCAAATATCGAAAATCACTTAAAGGTAAGACAACAAAGCGCTGCTACTTAAACACCGATACAGTCCATTGCCCTTTTAAAAAAAGCAATGTGATTTGGTGCAAAACCAAAATAAAATCCCATAAATGATGCAGCCAGAGAGAACTGAGTTTAAATACTAGAACAATATTTTTTTAGTTGTATGACCATAGGCTACCCCCATAACTTTACAGAACCCATGTTTCCCCATCTGTAAAATATCCAATTTATAGGGTTGTGGTGAGAATTTGAAATAATAAGTATGTTTCAATATTGTATTATATGCCTGTAAGATATTGTGTTAGACACTGGGAGCCATGGAGACTTAGTCCATAAGAAGCTGCACTGTTAACCCAAAGGCTGCACCTCTCTGGCGTTCTGAATCCATCAGTTGCTCTGAGGGAAAATGATGTTGGGCAGTATCCTCTATGCGCTTTACAGCCTCAGAAACCCAACAAACAGCTAAGCGCTGCTTCCAACTCAACAGCAATGAGTGAGTGTTACAGATATATATTAAACTCATGCCTTTGAATTGTGGTACTGAATCAAAGAATCAATGCCTTGAACTGTGGTGCTGGTGAGGAATACCAGATAGTTTCATGGATTGCCAAAAGACAAACGAGTCTTTCTTAAAGAAGGTGCAACCAGAGTTCTTCTTAGAGGCAAGGATGGTGACAGTTCATCTCACATATTTCAGGCATGCTGTCAGGAGGGGCCAGTTCTTGGAAAAAGATGTGATGCTGGGGAAGGTAGAGGATCAGAAAAAGAAAGGAAGCTCTTCAACAAGATGGACTGACACAGTGATGGGAACAATGGTGAGGTGGTGAGGGTGGAGAAGGACAGGGTATTGTTTGAATCTGTTATTCAGAGGGTCACTATGAGTCATAGCTGACCTCGACAGCACATAACAATATACACACACAGAGAGAGAGAGAGACAGATATGAATGGATGTGTGTACACATCACTCACTCACTCATATCCATTGAGTAAAAACTGACTCATAGCTACCCTCCCGTGGGTTTTCAGAATCTGTAAATCACACCTTTCTCCTGCAGAGCAGCTAGTGGATTTGAATCGTCCACCTGTGGGTTGGATCCACTACCTCTTAGGATACTAAACCTCCCTCTCTGTGTGTATCTCATCTGTGTGTAGTATACCTTCTAATTTTTAAGTGAATTCTGTCTTATAATTTGAAATACCAAATAACATAAAAAACCCCAACACCTAGTATTATGCCTGATAGAAAGCAGCCATTACATAAGTGATAGCCATAAAAAGTTTCAAATCTTTCACATCTACAGACTCTCTGGCAGAAACTCAGGTTGAGAGGAGCTTCTCCTAAAAATAGGAACCTTCATCATCAGCCCATTCAAAGGGTCCACCTACTTTGTTCAGGAGACAAAATGGAATAAGCATTCATACTAAACTGTGACTGAGATGAGAGAGTAAATGGAAGACTGAAAAAACCCAATGCCCATTCCACCAAGGAAGCATGACGTGGCTCCACCATTAAATGGCTAAAATCACACTTTCTAAAGTTTTCCTTGAAAATCCACATGACTCACCTTCCTGGAAATGGAAGAAGAAGGGGATGGAACGGAGGCCAAAAGATCTAAATCCTTCTCTAAGGTATTGCTGGTCTTACTATTTGCAATGGAGCAGGCCACAGGAGCATCTGAAAAGAAAGAGAAATGTGTGACTGCTCATTAAAAATATGATTTATTTCTATACTAGAGAAAAAAGCAGAAAGAGAAGGTCTCTTATGTTCCATTGTGTACCTAGAAGTCTAGACTTCTGGAAAAATCTAGCTGAGCTGAGGTTCCTCCAAAGGGGTCTCAGCTCACATTGCCCAGAGCGCTGTGTGGGAAGCCTAGAGCTCTGCTCAGAAGCAGCAGAAACACAGAGCTGACAGGTACATCAGTGCCACGGCATGGCCAGGGGCTGGCTGGCTCCTTTCTGGCTACCTGGGAGACAAAGTTGTGTGGAAGTCACTTTCAGAGAGAAATGAGAGGTTCAGAAATTAGGAGCCTAATTGCCAATAATGTAAATCAGCAGAACTGGATTGTGACTGTATAATCAGTCAACACTGAGTAAGAGGCAGAATCTCTAGTCCTGGGTTTCAAAAGTTTGGAGAAAAATGACTATGAGGTAACAGGCTAGCCCAGAAACAGATCACACATGAAAAAACAAAATGAGTAAGAAACAGAGGTAAAGGACAGGGACGTGGCACAGGGCTCACAAGTTAAATGCAAATTGTTGCCATTTATTGAGGGTTCTTAGTATGTTCTAGGCACTGAGCTAAGAGCATTAGAGGTATTCTTGCATTTAATTATTCCAATTACATACTGGAAGTAGATGATGATGATGATGATGATTATCTTCAGGGTATAGATCATGAAAGTGATGCTTAGGAGGTTGAGAGAGCTAAATTGGTGTGACATATAAAGTACGTAGTTTAGGGGCTTAACTACTATACTATAGTGTCATCTACAGAGTAAGTAGTTAAGGATCCTAACCACTATAATATAGTGTCACTCTTACAAGTATTACAGAGTGACATCCTCAGAGCAACTGCTTAAATGTAAAATATACAAGAAGAATGTAAGAGAACAATCTAAATAAGGAAGACACACATGGAAGAATTCATTCAATTTTTATCTATCTTCGCAGAATCTCTGAGACGTCACTGTAATTTGTAAAATATGGAAACTGAGAAGTCGAACTCTTACCAAGGCCCAACAAATCCATGACAGGAGCTGCGGATTTTGGGGAGCTTTTCCGAGGTAGCTGTGCATCTTCTTTTTTCTGTGGCTAAGGGGAAATGTGTTAGACAAAGAAATAAGTGGGATTTTGAACTTTTTCTCTCTGAAGCCATGTCCCACTGTTGCTGTTATCCAAAGAGAGCTAACCAAGAAGCAAAACTCGTGTTCACTGAAAGGTGAGAGAATCAAGTCAGGAGGCGTGAGTGCATAAACCAAACTAAAGTGAAATGCAAAGCTATCAAGTGTGTGTTTGGCTTTCTGAAGAGACAATTCTTTATGAAAACAAGACAACACAGATCAGTGGAGCCAATAGAAATAGCATCTTCTGATTCCAAGAAAAACCAAGAACAAAGATAGGTACATCAACTAAGTCGAGAGCCAACAAATTCCCAACAGCTAAAAAACCATTTTACTTTCACACCAAAAGGGACATTAGTTTAACTATTACCTAATGTACACTGCCAATATGCTAATGACTGTGCTCTGCGTAAAATGTGATTCAGATTGGCAGAAGACTCTCCTTGAGCAAGACAAAAAGTCCTCCCTCTGAAGACTCCAAGCTCTTACATAAGAATATCTACTACTACTACAGGCCCAATATCTCCTGTGAAAAAAGAAAGGTGTCCACTTCAACATGACAAAGAAAGAAAACAAGAAAGGATCACGTAAAATAGATCAGTGAGGCCTGGCTTCTGGACTGTTCTTAACTGCAAAAGGAATATGAAGTACAATAGGTCTAACACAAAGACTAATGTGGGGGGGGGGTACCCTCTTCTCAGAAGGTGTCATACAATCTCCGCATGGTGGTGGGGAATGTGTCTGTTGCTTAGAAGGCACAGATGCCATTTCAGAGCTCCCACCTGGCTCCAAAGAGAAGTGTCACAGAACAGATTAAACAGTAGCAAAGCAATGGGAAAGGAGGAATGGCAGCAGGCAATTTGGTCTAAATGTAGAACCCTTTAATATCAGGTAAATGGTGGAATATGCTATAACTCCTTCCTACCCTCCCACCCCCACCCAAGGCCTCCTACCAAATATATAAACATACCTGAGGCCATCCACAAAATCAAATATTTTCTTACTTACCATTTTCACCTTTTCAAATACAACAGGTTCCATTTTTTTCTCTGGAGCTGGTTCACTCCCTCTTTTCCACTTGTCATCTTTTTCTTTCTATTAACAGTTGAACAAAACAAGACCAGGTCCCTTGGTGACTAAATGTTCCAATAACTGATAATTCCAAGTACCCAAACAGATACCACAACTGCCTAATGATTCTGATGTGAGATTCTCATGATCTGGTGGTGGTGGCAGGGTCGGCGTGAGAGCTCCTGGTGTGGCAGTGTGAGAACTGGCCTCTTCCATATTAGCCTCAATGCTGTCAGAGGCAGGGCCCACCATCTAAACCAACCCAGGATTACCCTGCCTCCAGGTTCTGTTTAATCCACTTTTGATATTTTCAGTCCAGTTTATCTACAGAAGCTAAGAAGTTTCACTGGCTTGCTGCCCACTGGTGCCCCAACTTAACATGTTTATGGTGTGAGGGGTCTCCCTTCATCTTGTTCGACCAGTGATTTAGTTCGTATTCATAATATTATAAATTCAGTCATGCTGTTCTTAGGTAGTGTTGAGACCGCTCTGACCCACAGTGACTGTACATACAACAGAATGAAACCCGCCTGAGCCTGCACTGTCCTTACTCTCTTTGCTGGGCATATGCCCTCTCAATTCTCACCTTAATTTTTAAAAAGTAGAAATTAAATTTCAAATCCTTTTGTAAAACTCAGAGGAATAAGGTAAAAATATAGTGAAAGGATGAAAGTATCCTTTTAAGGGTGTCCTGCATGAGTCACCTGTATAAGGCCAAAAAGTACACAAACTAGGAGTCTCAGTTTTGGTTTCTTTCAGAGACAGTTTCATAATGCTTTTCACAAATTATAACATGACTAGCACATTTTTTTACTAGTCAAATTTTTAATATCAATAAACACTGAAATTCAAAACAGAACCACAAAGTAAACTTCAAATACAAATAGAGGTACATAAAAAGAAGTAAAACATACACAGTACCAAAAGTTCAGCCTTGCTAGTAACCACAAAATAGAAATGAAAATGCAATTTTGGAGGGGAAATAGATTTAAATAACAACAATAGTCAATGTTGACAGGGAGTTCTGGTAGCCTTGTGGTAAGAAGTTGCGCTGCAATCACAAAGGCATGTGGTTCAAATCCACCAACTTTTCTGAGGGAGAAGGATGGGCAATCTCCTCCTGTGGGATTTAATGTCTCTGAAAAACTGCTGGAGGGTCAGCTATGAGTTTGTTCTGACTCAATGGTACATAACAAACAATAAAAGTATTTTTAAAGTCTTAAGAATATTGAGTGAAAAATGCAAAATAGCTTTTAGATTAACAGGACGTATTTCCTTCCTAAGTGAAAACAGACAGTTAATTAAAAAAAGCTTGTCTTGTGGGTATGGTTTCCCTCCTCACTCACTGCCATTGACCTACCATTGGTTTCTGATGCTGTACATTAAAGGGGAAGAGACTGCCTATTTTGCCACCCCCCGGCCCCACCTGGAGTCACTGGTGTATTTGAACCTGCAAAGAAGATCAGCCTTTGGATTAGCAGTGAAACTCTCCACAGACCACACCACTGGCTCCTGATGGTCTATTACAAGTGTAAGTATGAAAGAATACCCGAAGGACTGTGCTTCTATAGAGCAACTTTCCCTTTGTCCCCCATCTTCTGGATTACTTCAGATACTCACCTTTATCATGAAGGCCACATTTTCCAACTATCAACCCTTTGTCTGATAGCTTAATAATTATTTACTAGTTATCTTTCAATTGGCATTAGTCAGGCCCGCTTTCTTCTTCCAGAAACTATGTGGTATTTCCTCCCATATATTTCACTTGTCCACTTTAGCATAAACTTTAATTCAGATTCTAACCATATAAATAGGATGGAAAGTGTAACTGACAACCAGAAAGAACCATTTGAAGACATTCTTGGAACAAGGGTTCTATTAGCAATCCATGAAAACATTGGAGAGAGGCTAAGTAATTTTAGAAATATAGTAGGATCAAACTGAAGAAATCTTGGTGACTTCATCTAATTTTGTCAACTTTATTTACAGAAGCAAACAAAGATATACATGTATGCAATATGCACATACCTTATACATAGATCTTAGTCTATTCAATCTAGTATATTGGAACAGTGACCACCAATATCATCAAAATAGAGATCTAAAGTTTTCCCTGCCTATCCTGAGTCAAAACTTTGTTCCATACATTGTGTGGCTTTGATTTAACAACTGATTATTTTTACTTTGGTAAATCTAGGTGGCCTAGTATTAAGAAGCTGTGCTGCAATCTCAAAGGCAAGTGGTTCGAATCCACCAGCTGTTCTGTGGCACAAGGATGAGCAATCTCCTCCTGTGTGACTTACTGCCTCTGAAAACCCCGTGGAGGGTCAGCCATGGGTTCCAAGTTGCCAGCACACAACCACATTTTCTACTTTTTTAATTTTTGAATGACTTTTAGTAATTTGGTTGCTGTTCTTCAACATTATCCCTACCTTGATTTAGTAGTAAGGAAAATTTTGTTATAAACAAAACTTGAAAGATTTACAACCAACCCTAAAGGCATTGATGTCCAGACTTCGGTCCATATATTTCTTCTTTTCATATTTGTCTCGGATAAATCCTTCAACGGCACTGCAAAAATCTTATTAAGGATGAATCAAACATGTCTTGGCAAAAGTGCGGATTAGAAGGGTCCTTTTATACAGCCCTTGGAGCTTCATTCTCCCTCCTTCTCTCTTGGTTTCCCATATGGTTTATATCTCTTCATGTGCCATTTCTCCTCATCAAAACCTTGGAGTGGTTCTTTTATGATTACTGCAGGGAAATCACCATTTCCTAGGATTTTCTATTACATAGAGTAAGCGCATTAAGGGATTAATCTTAATATTGGGGTTAGAGATAACTGTGGTTGTTCTAGAACATGACTGAAATTACCTGCTTTAAAGTCTTTAGGTTAAAGACCTCCAACAAAGGCACCTAAGAGCATGAAAGACACCATCCCCAGACTCTGACGTGTGGGTATCCTGCACAGCTCCCAGATCTAAATTTTAATAGGTTCTACCTGCACTCATCAAAAACAAAACTCTGGTAAGATTATCTAAACCACATTTTGAGAAACTGCCTTCCTTGAAAAGGTTGGTTTTGTCTGCTGTGTACCATCTTATACTGAGGGGGTAGGGGAAGTGAGTTATTGATAAGCTAGCCAATAATTGTTAATTCTTTCACACAGGACATAAGGGCAATAAAAAGGCATGGCAGTTTTGCTGATTGCTGGGCTCAACAGAGCACAGTAAGCTATTCTTTTCATGAAACAATAGTTTCAGAGAAACAAAAACTATTGGAGATGTCACTTTCTAGAAGAATTCACAGTGAAATCACTGCAGTCTTTAATTCCTCAGTGGCATGACATGGTACTTGTGACATATCTATGCTTTTTGTGTATCTAGCTTACAGGAGAGGGAAAAAACATAAGAGCTTTAGCTAATTCACGTAGAGATAGCCCCGTCAGATCACAGGCCTCATGTCTTGTGAGACCCAACAGTGCCACCAAAATACCACCCAGCTTTTGAGATTGCTCCAGAAAAGATACGGGTCTATCTGAGGTCGTCGGAAGGTCTCGGGAAGGTAGGCTTCATAAAGTCGGTTTGCTTTTCCATTCCCCATCTCTTGCATGCACTGCAGTCAAAGAAAGTGTGGAAAAAGGAAGTGTCAGTTCAGGAAAGAAATGAAAAATTCTCACCAAATCCTACCATTTTACAGATGAAGAACCATTCTAGAGAGTGGCAGAACGGAGTTTTAAACCTGTGCATTTTTATCTCTAATCACGATTCTCTCTACTTTGACAGGAGTAACCAACTACTTCCCTCCACAGCTGTCTTTTCTCACTCCCCTTCATCGGCCCTTTGTATTGACATGTTTGCCTGCCAAGACTGTTTAATTCAATAATCGTGCAAAGTCTTATTTGGAAATCAGAGACATTAAACTACCAATGAAATAATCTAAAAAAAAAAACAACCACCCAATCTATTGGCCAGTGATAATCATTATTACCATTTTGAGTTTACACTATTAGTTAATCTATTTGGCTTTACTGGCAATAAATGTGGTTTTTAAATTTAGAATACAATAAGAAACCCTTGCAATGGAATCAAGTCCAACTCATGATAAGCATAATGTGTAGCAGTAGAGAACTGCTCCACAGGGCTTCTTGGTGGTAGTCTGTATGGAAGCAGTTCACCAGGTCTTTCACTGGTGGAGACCCTGAGTAAGTGCACACTGCCAGTCTTTAGGCTAACATTCAGTAAAGCCTTTTAGACTCATGAGGAGGAAACCTCAAGGTCTTTTGAAATCTTCAAATTCTTAAAAACCTCATGGTGTGTGAATTCCTTTATAAAATAAAGTATAATTGAAAAAGAAAACTCACCTCTTTAGATCTTTACTAAATCTATAAATGCAGTCCAAAGTAATTGTTAAGTCATTTTATGGCTAAAAAGAACATCTTTCCATCACCAAGATTAGCAGTTGGCTTTCTTTGGCATTCCTTTTCCTCCCCAAAAGAGAAAAGTTGGGATTTTTTCTTTTAAAAATTTCATGAGCACCCAGTGAGCTGACACACAGACGTGAACCTCGAGAAGCTTGAGTTTATTTACCTCTATTAAAGGTATTCTTCCATTAAAAAAAAAATCACAGCAGGAATAAAACAGAGAACAATGAAGCTGCAAGATCTTAGGACAGCTGAACTAGCTCATTAGTTTAAGTGACTTGCCCCCAGTCCAGCAAACTAACAATAAATAAGGTTCATATATGCATTTTTAACAATAAAATATTAAAGAGTCTACGATGTGTATTTGCATGTGCATATCTAAAAGTGTTAAATCTGTAAATATTATGAGTCTTAGAAAAGAACCCAAAGATACTCCTTAATATCTTCATGTACTCATAGGATACTACAATGTATATTATTTCGAAGGAGGTAAACTAGGCCAAATAACTTTCATTCTAAGTAAGAAAGATTTAAAAGTTTTCTATTAAGAAATGACAATTTAAGCATTTCTTAATATAAGTATTCAACAGCTAAATAATCCTTTCTCCTCACCTTTGTCCCCAGCTGGACAGAAGTTCACTGGGAACTGCTCTGGCATGGAGCAGGAGCTGACTCTTGGGATGTAAACGTACCTGAATCTGTTCTTGAGTCCATTGGTCCAGGTTAACGGATTTTACCCTGGATATGTGCACTCCCAGATTCCTATGGATTCCAGCACATCGAATGCAGATGAAAACACCAATGTTCCAAGAGGCCCATCGTGGTCCTGTGAAGATCACGAACAGGGCTATAAAATATTTATAAATGACAACAACAATATTCTACCTCCTCCAAGCTGTCCTATTACCCTCTCAACCTGCATGGTAGCAAGAAGCACCAAAGGATAGGATTATCATGCAACAATTCTGCTAGAACATAAATGAAAACTTTTCTGCCACATTTATTTGCTTTGTTTGTTCCTCCATTAGCCGCTTTTAAAATTTTTCATTTTTTAAGTGTCAAAGTCACAGTTTCTATTACATTCACATAGTGTACAACCAACACCACTAATTTCAGAACATTTTTATCAACCAAGAAAGAAATTTTGTACCTATTAGCAAACCCTCTCCATCTCCCTCCTCCCAGTGCTCCCAGTTCCTGGTAACCACGTAAATTTGTCTGATTTGGGTATTTCACTTAAAAGGAATCATACAACATGTGGACTTCTGTATATATGAATCAGTTTCCATTGTGCCTGACAATTCGAGCATTGAAGCCGAAATGTTATTATATCCTATTACTCATATAAAGAAAAACCCAAGAGAGTAGTGCAAAACTACGTCCTACTTGTTGCATTTTACCTGGAGACTAACCTCCACCCTAAGCAACTTTTCAATGGTAGTGGCCTGGATTCAGTTTTCCTCCTAGGAAAAAAGATACAGCCATGCCACACTAGCCTAAGGCTCAAATGAAATGTAAAACTTTGTTTATCCTCCCTTCTCCAACCCAACCCTATAAAATATGCATCCAGATTAACTTAATAGGATCCCTTCTCCTTGGGCTGTGTCCTTACTTTACCCAACCTCCCACTTACCTAGATTCAAGACGGTTAAATAAAGAAGATGTCCACTGCAAAACCAAAACCAACCTACTTATGTATTTCACAAAAAAAACCCAAAAACCTGTTATAAAATCTCCCATCCCAATTTTGTTCATCCTAAGGATAATTCTGAATAGTATTAAACTCTTCATAATTCTTAGAATGGAAAAAAGTGACTTACTAAAAATCTGAAATATTTCCATCTCTAGCATTCCACAGTTGTGCTTGTGTACCCTCAAGTCAGAACCAACAACAGCTGACCCTTCAGCAGGTTTTCAGAGGCTATGAATCACACAGGAGGAGACGGCCCATCTTTCTCCCAAAGAGCAGCTGGTGGAGTCAGACCACATACCTTTGTGTTGACAGCACAATTCCTTACCACAAAGCCACCTGAGGTCATGGCAGCATTCCATTATGCAGATATTTAACCACATAAAATAAACAGGATGTCAAGGTAAAGACTGCAACAAAGAGATAAAAATATCTGCACTGGTTTTTCTACAGAGATAAAGAAGACCTGTGCTTGGAACAACAAAGAGCATAAGACTTAACTTCTACAGAACATCCAGGCTACTGGTAGCCTGAGGTTTGGACAGCTATGGTATCCTAGTGTGTTGGGAGATGCACTCAAAGGTCATGCCTCTTTGGTAATCTGAATTCACCAGCAGGTCCTTGGGAGGAAGATGAACAATGTCCTTCCGTGCTATTTACAGCCTCAGAACCTTAATGACCATGAATTATTAAGAGAGGATTTCATAGAAATTTTAAAGAAAGAATGCTAGAGTTGTGTTCTCATGTGTGGAAATGCGAGTTCACAGTTATTATTAGTGAAAACATAATTATTCTTTACAAAATTATCACTCAGTCTGTGACAATAATATAGCCAAACACCAAATTGAATTCATTGCCATCGAGCTGAAATCCTCCTTACAACCACCAGGTGGTGCTCTCTACCTGAAATTTTATCCCAATACCTTACAGCTACTATCTTGACAAGCTGAGATTTTCTTTTTAAAAAAGATACCAGCCAAAACAACATGAGATATCATCTCACCCCACTCAGAATAGCAAAATTTAACAGAACAGTAAGTAACAAATGCTGGCGAGGTTGTGGAGAAACTGGAACCCTGATTCACTGTTGGTGGGAATGTAAAATGGTGCAACCACTGTGGAAGGCGGTATGGCGCTTTCTCAAAAAGTTGCAAATAGAGATACCATTTGACCCAGCAATTCCACTACTGGGAATATATCCCAAAGAGACCATAACTGACATCCAAGCAGATATATGCACACCCATGTTTATCGCAGCTCTGTTCACAATAGCAAGGAGTTGGAAACAACCCAGGTGCCCATCAGCAAATGAATGGGTAGAGAAGCTGTGGTATATTCACACAATGGAATACTATGCTGCATTGAAAAACAAGGAACTCATTCAATATTATTCAAAATGGGTGAGCCTGGAGGACATTATACTGAGTGAAATATCTCAGTCGCAAAAGGACAAATATTGCATGGTGCCACTGCTGTAAAATGGGACTGATATCAGGGTGGAGGTAAGACTGAGAAAAACTGGATAAATTGTGTATATTGCACTGAAACAGATGAGGGACTGAATAATTTAAAAGCAATGTATGATAGGGTATTATGACAAGAGTCCACAATTAAGTTTGCATAGTGGAATGTACTTGGGGCGGTGGGAGGGGTGTGGGGGGATTGTGTAACAGGGAGGGAGTCTTTCTTTTACTTTTGAAAGAGAGGAGCGAACTGGGGGGGGTGGGGGGAGAGGGCTGGGAGGGGAGAGAAGTGCAGCAATGAATGAATGGAAATCCAAATTCTCTGTAAATGTTCATTAAAATTATTTAAAAAAATAAAATAAAATTTTAAAAAAAGAGACCAGCACCTCCAAATCTGTACACAGACGTACCTAGTAGTTCTGCCAAACACATACCTGGAGATGGTGGAGAGTTACAGAAAGACAAAATGAAAATCTTAAACAGATACGAGCACAGGATTCTGAGATTATCTCTTTTATATGGGACTGAAAATGGGACCAAAAGTTAATTTTCTCATTTCTTTACCATTTTTCTTTATGATGATGCTGTTGTTGTTAGTTGCCATCGAGAGGAGTATGCCTCACAGCAATCCTATGAACAACAGATCTGAACGTGTCCTATCCTGTGCCATCTTCACAAACCCCGACACACACGAGCCCACTACTGCAGTCACTGTGTCAATCTACCTGTTCAAGGGTCTTTCTCTCCTTTGTCCACCCTTCACCTTTCCAAGCATGATGTCCTTCTTTAAGGAATGGCCTTTCCTAACAACATGCCAAAATATGTGAGATGAAACTTCATCTTTGCCTCCAAGAATTACTCTGGCTGCACCTTCGCCAAGATAGAGCTGTTTGTTCTTTTGGCCATCCATGGATCTTCAGCACTCTTCTCCAACACCACAGTTCAAAGGCATAAATTCTTTTGTCATTATTATTCATTGTCCAGTTCCCAGATGCTCCCAGATGTATATCAAGTGACTAGAAAGAGCATAGTCTGTATCATGCACACCTTAGACCTCAAACTGACATCACTGCTTCTCAACAATTTGGAGAGGTCTCTGACTGCACACTTTCCCAGTGCAATACGTCTCCTGATCTCCTGACTACGGGTACCAAGTGTACTGACTGTGGATACAAGTAAGATGGAGATGTCAACAGTTTCAGTTTTTTCCCTCCATCTATCATGATGTTAGTCCATGACATTGAGGTGATTCAACAGAATGTGAAATTATCAAACAATGTAGATTACAAGAAATTGTGGCTACCCTTGAGAAAAATGAGGATCCCAGAATACTTAATCGTGCTCTTTTGAAACCTGTATTTAGACCAGGAAGTAACAGTCAGAACAGAGTAAGGAAACACTGCATCGTTCAGGATCAGAAAACACGTGTGTCAAGGATGCATCCTATCTCCATTATCTTTTCAATCTACATGCAGAACAGATCCTTTGAGAGGCTGGACTTTATGAAAAGAAATGTGGCATCAGGACTGGAAGGAGACTCACCAACTACCTACGTTATGCAGATGGCACAACCCTGCTTGCTGAAACTGAAGAGGACATGAGGCATTTGCTGCAGAAGGTCAAAAATTGTAGTCTTCAATAAGGACTGAAGCTCTACATCAAGAAAACTAAGATTCTCACCACTGGGCCAATTGGCCGCTTCATGATGAATAGAAAAAAGATTGAGGTTGCTGATAACGTTAGCTTGATTGTTTACACAACAAACACTCTTGGGACCAGCAGTCAGGAAATCAAAAGTCGGCTGTCAGGGACCTCTCGAGTACCCAAGAGTAATGATGCCAGTCTGGAGACTAAGGTGTACCTGATCCAGGCCATGGTCTTCACAATTACTTGCTATGCATCCCAGAGCTGGACAATAACTAAGGATGACAGAAGAACTGATACCTTTGAGTTGAGTGCTGGAGAAGAGTGTTGAACATACCACGGACTGCCAGGAGAGCCAACAGATCTATCTGGAGAGGGTAAAGCCACACTGCTCCCTGGAAGCAAGGATTTTGAAGTTCCATCTCGCATTCTTTGGATCTGTGGCCAGGAGGGACCTGTCCTTGGAGAAGGACATCATGCTTGGAAGAGTGGAGGGCCAGCACAAGAGAGGAAGACCCAGGATGAGAAGGATTGACTCCATGACTAGAGGTATGAGATTAAGTCTGTCGGAGATGACATAAGGTCGCTATGAGTCACAGGCAACTCTATGGCACATAACAACAACAACATCATAAATATATGTAAGCAAAGCACTGCTAAAGATCAATCAAAACAGCTAGAATAATACATAGACAGAGAAGCACCAGGTATTCAAGCTGTATTTAGAAGAAGCAGTGACACCAGAGATAGATCACTGCTGAAGTTAGATGTATCCTGGCTGAAAGCAAAGAATACCAGAAGAATGTCAATTTGTGCTTTATTGACTATGCAAAGTCATTTGACTGTGCAGATCATGACAAACTAACTGTACATTGAGAAGAATGGAAATCACAAAACACTTTATTGTGCTCTTGCAAAACCAATACCTAGACCAAAAGGTGAACAAAACATGGAACAACACATTTTTTTAAAAAAATTAAGAAAGGTGTGTGTCAGGGCTCTATCCTCTCTCCATACCTATTTAATCTG